ATCAAAACTCGAGGCAAAAAAAAAATACTGTAAATGGATAACTGTGCTATATTACTTATCATTTTTCAATTCTTGTTCAAGGCATTCTTGAAATAGTGAATAAAGCACCTACAAAATACGATCGTTTGTAATATTTAAGTTCATAGTGTAGAAGTTATTACTTTGTTCAAAATAACAAAAAGTGTTAATATAAGTGATTCCAAATTTTTAACAGTACAAGCTAAGATAGAGACTCTACCATTTGACTAGATGGCCGAGGTGGCAGGTTCTTCATCAGGTTTTCCATATCCTCAAGCTTCTTGGCCAACGCCTGAACCTCCGCATGTAGCTCTTTATACTCTTCATACTGGTCATTAAACACAGCCTTGTACTGGTCCCTTTCCTCATCGGTATGGATGGTGGGATATTTCCTGCAAAAAAAGGACAAACATGTAAACATTTATCTCCATGTGAGACCAAAATACTACTACAAACTACCAGGTAAAAGGAAATAAATAGAATGTTTTTGTGGCTACACTTCATTATCACTTCAATAACGTTTCCTAGGGTATTATTGCATATACACAATATTTGGACCTCTTATAATTGAAATGTTGCTTTAAATACTGAAGGTGGGCTTCAGTCTGTAATCATACACCTACATGGACCACTAAGGTAGGTGGAGCTCATGAAGTGGTCAGAGAATGGAAGTATAAGGTAGGGGTTTCTCATGTATAAAGAATGTATTTAAGTCATTCAAATGCTATACGATTGCCTGAACTCACGCTACGTAGTCCGCAATGACCACAGGTTTGGGGATGTGTCCGGCAGGTATGTGACCTCTCAGGTACTCTGGCTCCATCATAGATGGTGGAACAATTGTGGCACCATCCATGGTCTCTGGGTTTGTAGTCGTCAGCTGTGGTTTGTAGACCGGTGCTGAGACACTGGACCCTGCTTCAATCTGGGGACGAGGCAGAGTAGGGTCATTAAGGCAGGCAGGGACACTGTACTATGCATACTGTAATTTCCAATAAGAAAATACTCACCATGCTCAGCGGAAGTGAAACGACCGTCTTCATCTAAACAGAAAAGAAACAGTAAATGAACACTAACGCCAACACTGTTCATAACACCTGAATAGAGATTATAATTCTAGAAACTGCACTGCAATTCGTAATTATGGTTACTGTTCATGATGTAGGAATGTCTTCAGGGACAATGCAAAGCATCCCCAAATTTTGTTAATCGTGACTGTTGGTTAACATGATCTTTTGCTGTGCTAAAAGCGGTGATGCTTTAGTGCCAGTTGTTCTTAATCCCAGCCCTGGAAACCCAGTGTCCTGCAATGGTTCTTGTCAGTCTGGAATTGGGATTACAAACCAAACTTTCAGTAAATGTCTTCCTAGATCGGTGGTCAATTCATGGCAGTGGTTCCTGATCCTTGTCCTAGTGTACAGCTGTTCATTGTTTTTCCTGAGAGCTGGTGTACTGCGGTTCTCAAACTGGTCCTCAGAGACCCCCAGACGGTCCACATTTTGGGGATAGAGCAAAAATGTGGACCATCTGGGGGGCCCTGAGGACCAGTTCAAGAACCACTGTACTACAGGACCAGGGTTGGGAATCATTTGTTTAGGGGACCCTGATGCAAGGCTCACCTCTTGTTCTTGCGCTTCCCGACGGAGACGCGCCGCCTCATGCCTCCACAGCTTCAGACACACCCCGGCGCCCACCAGATACAGCAATGTGGTGATGAAGAGGAAGACGATGGCTGCTGTCTGGCCAGCTTCCGTCCGACAGAAGGCAGCGTTGGGGCCATTGTTGAAGTGCGGGTAGTAGCAGAGACCTCCACGGACGGTGTCCCGCACGTACACTATGGCCGCTGCTAGGTAGAAAGCCCCAAGTCCCAGGTTTATGACGCACTCCGTGACGGGCCACCAGCTGGAGTCCAGCAAGATGGTCCGGTAGTACATGGTCATACCCAAGACAAGCAGAATGACAGTGGCAATCCAGGCCAAGCCGGCGACCACCAGGATGAAAGGGGTTTTGGGCCCATTGTAGTTAACCCCATACCCACCATACATCCCTCCCATTGATCCAAAAGAACCCCCATAGACGTTCTGCTGGGAATAGCCAAACATGTTGTACCACTCATTGTCCTTGTGCACATAGGCGCAGACGCAGGCGAAAACTGCTGCACCCAGCAGCAGTTCTATGCAACCAAGGATGCGCAGAAGCCCTGCCCATGACTTCATGTAGGCGTACCTCTGGTGGTACTCCTCCACCTTCTCGCTGTAAGTCTTGGCCGTCTGTGCTGAGCGGCCCGAAACTGACTCCACTGCTTCCCCAAGGAGTGCCATCTGCTCCTTCCGTGAGGCGTAGCTGCCCCCGGACCCTCCATATGGGTCCACATAGGAGCTCGGGGCGCCTGGTGAGGGTGGCCGAGAGTGGGGAGGGGAGCATGGCACTCCCCCAGTGGTGGTGTTGAAGTTTTCGGATGGAGGTGGTGGAAAGGAGTTTCGGCTCTTGCTGCTCCGGAAGCTGTTGCCCCTAAAAAAGTTCTTCACAGAGTCCGGGATGAAGCGACGTACCGGTTTGATGTCCATGGCCTCGTCCGGCTGGTCTTCAGTGTCACTGGGGTAGAAATCTGGACCCACAGGTGGGTTGATGGGAAGTGGAGGGGGCGGTAGGGGATCATCACTGGTGGCTGGCACTGACCCCCCGAGGGGGTATGGGACACCATCATCCCGGCCAAGGGAGCCAATAGGCACCTCGTCATAGTGTGGTATTTCTCGAACCCGATCAAAATGGTACGGGTACCCGTTTACTGCGGACATGGGTTCTGCTCTTGGTCTAAGATCCCTGAGGGAAGACTAGAAGTGACAATAGAAATGAAAGGATAATAAAACACAAGTCTTCATTCATCAATACATAAAAACAAAGGCAACAAAGACATTCCCACAATGATCACTGGGTCAGGGGTTCTCAGGGACCCCACATGGTCTGTGGTTATTACTCTAACCAAGCTCCCAACCCAACTGTACCAGGTATTTAGTGACTTTAATGGCCTGATTCATGCGTGTTAGAAGCGGGGGTAGGGCAAAACTGTGGACCATCTGGGGGTCTATAAGGACTGGTTTGAGATGTTTAAGAACCACTACTCTGGGCAATATTCCCAGTTTCTCAGTACCCAGATTGCAAAATAAGCACACAAATAAGGATTCAGCTCAATTTCAGATCCACACAACAGCAATAAACCCAACATTTTAACCGTGTTCTTTGTCAAATTCACAAAAGTACGCAACAGTAGTGCTGGGCAAAGTCCAAGCTTTCAAAACCTTTCAAAAAACGGTCAAAATCTCAGAACTAATCCCATAATTATTAACTCAGGCCTTTTCTGATCTGAGATCGCTTCTTTCTAAAGGTTTTTGATTAAAAAAACAGGACTTACCTCTCATCGGTAAATACACCTGTCTTCCGCCACTCGGTTTGCAGGTAAAAACGTTGGATCACGTGACTTACCTCACCCTAGACGGTGACGTTATTCTTTCAGTCTTTCCGGCGAAACCAACAGTGAGACTGGTTTGTTTTTTTTCCCACCGTACTTCCCACAATAGCGTTGCTTGTTCCCTTCTCCACCCGTATTCCGTCAGAACCCGCCCTCCGTCGTGAGGATTGGAGAACGTGAACGTGACTGGCATGAGATTCTAGCCAGTCGTAGCGCAGGGGGCGGGGCCTCTTTGAATACGGTTGTAATAAAAACGAAATGCTCTGTTCTAGAGAAACTTAGAGAGTCAGGATTGTTCACAGTGGTGGTGATAGAAACCAGACGTCCACCTCTAAAGGCTCTCTCACAAAAAGGTATTACACAAATTAGTTGTGGATACACTGTTGACACTCAAGACAGTAGTTTTGCATCAAAATTGGGACCTAAAAATGCATTCATGGTGGAGGGGTACGTGCAGGACGTTGTGAGGCAAAATATATTGTTACATATTGTTTTCAGATTAACTACTATTTTACCATCATAAACATTACATATAAAAAGTAATGTAGGTTCACTGGTGGTTTTGGATAGTAAACAAAATGGCTATATTTGTGTTGTAGACATGGTGACCCCTGGTTCCTATCACCACCACTGTAAAGACAACTCAACAACTGAATTCTTCAAAATTTTGGAAAAATCGGTGGATTTCACCTTAAAATTACAACGTCAAAACATCAAATCATAACATATTATATATTTGTATTTATTCTAAAGTTGCTGTTTTTTAATACAGTACTGTGGATCTTACATATTTACGATAAATGAAAAAAGCCAAATGGGACATTAATCAAATTCTTTAATATAAACACAGTTTGAAGGGCCCAGATCATGAAAAAAAACAAATTTTCCAAATTTTTAAAAATGAGTTTGATGTAATATATAGCCATTGTCTAAGTTTCAAAACATACCCCAGGCCATATATGGACTGTTTTGAATCCATTGTTTCTTTGATGTCACAAAAACCAGCACGTTTTCATATATCTCCCTATTCAGTCTACAGCAGTTTAGCTCCATCCATTCACACCGTAGGAGGAAACTGTATGGAGGGTTTCAGCCCAGTCTGCTTTTTTAATTGAGGCACAGCCAATCAGAACAGAGCTCATTTGCATAGAGTGGTCTTAAAGGCACAGCCTATTTGTTTAATTCTCGGAGATAAACAGACGTTCGAAAAATGATTATGTGAAAATGAATTTTTTGGTGGAGCTCTGGGAAACACAAATAGAAAAGTGTAGGATAGGGGCCCTTTAATGCTTCTTTTTAGACAATTATGCTTCATGCTGTCAAAATATATTTACATAAATGTCTATAAAACATAGCTGTGTGGAGTTAATGTGTGCAAGTGCGAGCACTTCCCAGAAACAAGGAGATAAAAACTGTTGTATTTTTGAAATGCAAGAGAATAAACATGTAACCTTCTGGTTTCATTGAGTTTATGTGTAAACCGAAGTGAAAACAGAGAAGATGTGGACGGTAATAAGAGCTTTAGACGACAGTACAAAATATTTATTATCCATATATTATGGAATGGTGTTTGATCATTTCGCATCGCTGCTCTCACACAACTCATCAGCCGAATCAGGTCCACCAGAGAAAAACATCACTATGTGGGCTTTATGAAGAGCTACGTAACAGCAGGGATTCTGTATCAGCTTGTCAAGGTGGACGCTGGCGATGCAAAGTCTACAGTTCTCCTCAGAGCCTGTCTACGGGGGAGTGAGTGTTCATGAGTCTGCGCTCGGTCAGTTATTGTCCTTCATCCACTGTTCGATCCACTGAATGATCTGCTCCAGGTTCCTCTCCAGGTCTTCAGGGTCGTTGCTGGGGAGCTGGTGCACGATCTCCTCTTTGTAAGCCTCCACGGCCTCTTCATAGATGGTCTGGAAGATCTCGCACTGAACGTTGTCCTGGAGCTTCTTTCCTGTGTAACCTCTACACAAGAGACACGAGAACAACATTTTCAAGGTTTTTGTTAAGATATGCCGTAAAAAATAAAAACTGGTTCTTTAGTGAAGGCAATGGTTCTGTTTAGAACCATTCTATATGGATATACACTCATCATCAAAAAAAATAGTTGCACCCAGAAGGAACCAACCGACAGGAATGAAACTTGGTGGGTAGGTTCGACATTGCGAGACATGCGAATGATTCAAGTTTCATGCTCGGCCGCGCATGTGACGTACGCAAGGACGGGCCTTGCGCTGTACCTGACTGACTATGTAAGGTCGTCCCGTTGCGCATGCTTTCTATTCTGACTCGTGCTGTTGTGTTAGTAGCATCCTTTGCAAGCGAAGTTTGCCTCAGAGAAGAGTTCAAAAGCAGTATAAGCAGTTGGAAGAGTTCGAGAGGGGTCGCATCGTAGGGCTCCGGGAAGTGGGATGGTCTTATCGATGTACTGCGCGCCATAATGGTCGTGCAGATATTACCACAGCACGCTGTTGGCGAGAGTGAACGGAAGGTGGCACACACCAGCGACATGAAGGATCTGGGAGACCTACACGAACCATAGAGAGGGAGAACCGACAGATTGTCCGACATGCGCGGAGTGACCCAACAGCCACGATTGCGGACAAAGCAGTGATGCCCTTCATGAGTCATCCTATTAGTGTCAGAACCATTGGCAGATGTCTGCACGATGCAGCACCACATGCACGCAGACCGTTACGACGACTGTCCTTAACACCACGTCAACGTCGCCAAAGACTGCAATGGTGTCGTGCCAGACTGTCATGGAGTGACTCAGATTGGCAGCAGGTCATCTTCAGTGACGAGTCCCTCTTTTGTCTTGGTGGAGACGACCAATGAATCCAGGTGTGGTGGCACAGTGGTCAGCGCCGAGATGAACGGTTTGCTGCCACGTGTCACATGTCTAGAAAGCCTGGTGTCATGGTGAGGGGTGCAATTTCATACAATGCCAGATCAACTTTGGTCTTGTATACAGGCACTTTGACAGCCCAGCATTAGGTTAATGAGGTCCTGCAACCAGTGGCCCTACCTTTTCTGAACGCACACTCTATTGCAACAGGACACCGCTCGTCTGCAGACTGCTGCCATCTCAAGAACTGCCTTGAAGACACAAATACTTTGCTATGGCCAGCCGCATTGCCAGACCTGTCCCCGATTGAAAATGTGTTGGATGCTACTGGACGTGCTCCAACACTCCACCCCTACCGCAAAATCTGCAGGAACTGCATGAGAATATTCAAGCTGCATGGGATGGATTATCGCAGGACACCATTAGGAACTTCTAAAACTCCATGCCAAGACGTCCAGCATGTTGCGTTAGCAAACATGGCAGCCTGACGCCGTACTGAGACTCTGAGACCGTACTGTAGCTCAATAAATGTTGCCCATATCAGTCTAAGTTTTAATCATTTATTGTTCCTGGTAACCTTCGTCTTCCTTTCGAATAGCATTGCAATCCGACACTTCCTTCTGGGTGCAACAATTTTTTTGACGATGAGTGTATTTCATGCTTGAATGGTTCTTTGCATGTTAAAAATGGTTCTTCAGATTGATGGAGAATGTGTTGTATATGGTTCTATAAAGAACCTTTTTGAAAGTGGTTCTATATAGCACCAAAAAGGACTCTTGTGCTATGATGTTAAGCTGGTGATAATAGAAGAACCCTTTCTGGTGCGATATAGAACCATATACAACACATTCCCATCAACCTGAAGATCCATTTTTACCAAGTAAAGAACCATATAAGCACAAAATGGTTCTATATGGAACTCATGGTTCTAAACAGAAGCACTGCTTTTAATAAATAACCATCTTATTTAACTATGTACAACCAATTTTGTTGCAGGAGCACACATAAAATGGGTGTAATATCATGCTAGTATGTACAGTTTCTTGCTAACCTGCTCTCGAGCCTGTTGTAGAGGTTAGTGTTGTCTGTGCGGAGGACAAACACGATGTGAAACCAGCGTTCGGGGAAGAAGTCACAACCATGGTAGTCCACGATGACGCCTCCGTCGGTCATTTTGTCCTCCAGTTCATCCACAACCTTGAAGGAAAGAAAAAATAGAATGCAAACTTTGTTGATGCTCATATAGGATCTTATTCTTATTCTACTTGTTACTTGATAAATTAATTAATATTTCTATAGCTGATTTGGTGAGATGACTGGTGGTGGGTTTGTATTTGTTTTTTGTTTTGCTGGTAACTTAATTTCTTTTTATTGTTGACATTTGTTTCCTTGCTAAAAATTGTTAAAAACAAACAAAAAAAAATTGTTAGTCTCAGGGGGTCCCCACTGATGCTACAGCCATCTGTGGTCAGGAGTTTAAGGCTACATCCAGAAACCCTGAAACTAACTGCTTTTTTCGACCGATCCTCTTCCTCTCCACAGTGAGCCGGAAATCGATTGGGCAACACCATCTTACCAGCTGTCTGAATACCGGAAGAGACGAGAGAAGCAGTTCCAAACAGCTGCCCAAGTGGCTTCAGGCAGAGGATACACCAGTGTATGTTACCCAGGAAGTCTTTTACAGATTTTAGAGTCACATCACTGCAGACACGCCCAGAGAGGAGGGACAAACATGGAGCAATCCAGCTATGCTTTAAGTTCTGTGTTTTCTTTGGGTTCATATAAGTATCTGTCTTGTGTATTTCGTACTTAAAAAACACTTAAAAACACGGAGTAGAAAACCACACAAATGTGAATAGGTGAGTTCTGTGTAGGTCAGGGGTGTCAAACTCAAACACTAAAAGGGTCATATTAAAAAAATCTCAGCAAATCTGTGGGCCAGCTGTGTTTTTATTTAATGTTTACCACGACCGGAACGGCCCACTGTTTATTCAAAATATGCCAAGCCCGCAACAGCAAAATAGGCATTAAATACTTATTCAAAAATAATTCTAAATAAAAATAAATTGTTTTAGGTAGTTTATTTTTAAAATGCCTATTTGCTTGAACTAGACACCAGGCATCTTCTCTTTGTGTGTAACTGCTGGCCCATAGATTGTTGCTGGGGGTCAGAACACACACTATGTTGTACTGCATGCTGGGAACTGTAGTGCATCTCAGGGTGAAACGGGCTAATAAGAATAGAAATTTAAAATAATTTCGCAGGCCGAATAGGACCGTATCACGGGCCTGACTTGGCCTGCGGGCCTTGTGTTTGACACATGGGAGTTAGGTGAAGGATTAACATAGTTCTGCTATTCATCATTTCCGAGTGTTGACATTTGATGATAGACCAAAATGTAAATGTACAGGCTGAAAAGCAGCTAGCAGTGGTTTCTATGCAGTGATTAGAGGGCTGAGGAAATGGGGTGGGGCTTTTGTCATATACTGGATACCATACAATATATTACTACTAAAGAGCATGAAATACACAGTATATACTGATGCAGTATATAGTACACAGTATGCCATTTCGGATGCAGCCTATCTATTGCTGGCTGGTGCTGGGAAAAAGTAACGTCCAAAATTACTGTGCAAAATCAGCAGGGGGTGCAGATCGAGTAGCCACACAGCTGTTTGTCAAAGCTAACAGGGTTCCTGTAGCAAACATATTCCTCTGTTCTTTTGCAACTCATTGTTCTAGTATTGCTTTCAGCATCTATCAATGTAAAAGAACGTCTTTCATTTTCTCATAGAACTTCTTACAACTAAATACCTTCGTTAAGCTCAATATTTCTGCTAAGGAGAGTTCATGGGAAATTTAGGAACTGGGCTTTATTTCTTCTAAGACACAATGACAAAGAAAGGCTTTTTCTTTTGGGAACTGCTGTTACCTAACAAGCATGCAGCCCTATAGATGGACCTTGAGGTGGAAGGCTGTTTGTACACGTAAGCTTTCTCAGTTTTGTCAGTATGTGACTCGTGTTTATATTAGTTGCTAAGATTATTCCATCAGGGATATTTGCAGTAGCAGAAAACGAGAGCAGTGAAAACAGAGGCGCAAAATGAATGAGGGTGAACCACAACTGATACAGATGCAGCATCATGATTAGCTGTTCTGCTTCACAGATGCAGCGACTTTGATTATCTGAGGACGGCCAGCTAGAAGAACCTAACATTGGTTCACTGAGGTAAGATTTTAGGGCAGGAGTGTACCACGCTGGTCCTGGTGGGCCGGTGTCCAACATAGTTTGGTGATTCACCCACTGAGATCAAGTTCTCCACCAGCACTCATCTCCATGTGAACCTCTCGTAAAGAGGGTAAAGTGGAAGACCAAAAGATCAGTTGGGCTGCCCCAGTAATTTGCAATGCATTATGAGTCTTTGATAGCGAACACAGCATTATAGGGAGTGAAGTCAAGTACCATTGAGATTTCAAACGACCCTACAAAGTGTCTGACACACCATATAGTGCACTATTTCTGCAATGGGGAGCGATTCCCGATGTTTAATCCTCCAAAAAGCACCTACCCTGTCTTCATCCAGAATGGGGCACTGATACTCTTCATCAAACCCATCAAACAGCTGACCTGAGATTGAAAAGTGCAAACATTAACAGGCATGCTATTGCTGAATTTCCTTGTCACCTTCACCATAACCTTTCAAACATGATGCAGCTCACCTTCCTGTGCCAAATCTCCAACATTGACGTAAGTCAGCCCTGTCCTCTGAGCAAGTTCCTTCCCAAGTGTGGTCTTCCCAACTCCTGGCGTTCCTGGAAACACGAATGGTCATTAAAGATTCTTTAATGTTTCTGCATAATTAAATAGTTACGATGTAAACAAAGCCATTCAGAGTGGTTTGATGTGACCTGTTCTGGGTCAGAATTGTTCACAGTGGTGGTGATAGGAACCAGACATCCACCTCTAAAAGCTCCCTCACAGCAAGCTATCACATGAAATGGTTATGAATTCACTGCCTGATGATTTTGAGACATTGCTTTACAGTAGTTTTATGATACGACTTTGGCTTAAAACGTATATCTATTCATGGTGGAGGGGTACACTGTGCGGCAAAATAGTCCCCACGTGTAGGTTCACTGGTAGTTTTGGATAGTAAAATGTCTGTATTTGTATTGTAGTCATGGTGACCTCTGGTTCCTATCACCACCACTGTAAAGACATCTGAGTGTGTAAGTTTCTCTACAAATCAACCACTTCACATCAAACCACTCTGAATGACTCTGTTTACATCTCAAAGACCGGGTTATTCAGAAATTTTACAAAAATGGTGGAATTCTCCTTTTAAAAATGTAGAAATGTCATTACATCAGGTCTGACTGATACATAGATTCTAATGGGACTCTTTTTCTTTCCTCTTTATTATTCAATTGTCAAACCGCCTTCTAAAGGTTTTACACCTCTAGGGAAAAAAAAGACTCTCCCCACGAGGTTCAAGTCCTTCTTCAAACTCTCCGTTCCACCTTAAATGGCGCAGCAGTTACATTCAGGCTGTACAGGCGCCAGAACGTGACTGCTGCGCCATTTAAGGTGGAACGGGACATTCAACCACGAGGCTAACTTCTGCTTCGTACCACACTCTGTGTTCACCAGAGGGGCTAAAACAGCAAATGTATGACGACTGTGACATAAACCAGACATACTGGTGGCGGATGAGCGCATATTCCTGTAAATAAACCGCATTAAAACATAAAGATTATTCATTTACAGTGCTCCAGCTCACCTGTGAGGAGGATGTTCGGCCTCTTCATGATTCCCATCGCCAAAACTTGGCCAGCAACACGGAGAGCGAGGTAAAAAGAAAAGCTACGGTCGCTTCAAAACCAGAAAATGCGACTTTATTCCAGTTTTACTCGGACATCATTGCCAACGCTGAACTTCCTAACAGACAAACGTGCGCGTCCACGTGTAGCGCTCCGCCGGCGTGCTGACATCATTGGCACGCGCCCACGCCACCCTGCACTTTAAAGGGAATGCTAAGCTAACATGCTAAAACGGCGCTTCTCGTAGACGAGAGAGAAAGTAGTTTAAAAGAAAAACCCTGGATTAATTTTTCGTCGGAAATGACCGAGGTGGGTTTGTGTCACAGCGTGACTCGCTCTCTGTGTGGTCTCTTAGTCGCTTTTCTAGCTGGAGAGATGATTTAATGACGTTAGCTTAGCATAAACTCAGCCTAGCCTCGCCGAGCTAACAGCTAACGGTCACTGGCGGAGTTTACGTTCAAGCATAAACAGAGAAACCGAGGTGAGCAGAAGCTGCGCATACACGGACTTTTCACTGCATTTCATAGCATTTTTAACTCTTTCTAAGTTTCTCAGGCCATAATAGTTGTATCGCCAATCAAAGGAATATATTTTTTCCCTTTAGTTTCGTTTTAGTCGTTGAAATTTAGTTCCAGCCTGTTGTGTTTTGCTGCTGCTCGGAGTTCTCACTTCAGTGTTTATCGCATTTAGACCAAAAGAGAACAAACTAACGATAACAAACTTCAGTTTTTGTGCTGATAGATGCTGAAGGGACTAGTTTTATTGGAAATTCACGATTTGTTTTCACTCAAAACGGTTTTTCGCAGCTACTTTTTGACTTTGACTTCTACACACTTAAAAAAGTTCCTCGAGGGTTCTTTAGTAAAGGCAATGGTTCTGAGTTCTGTACAGAACCATTTTATGCTTGCATGTTGAAATGGTTCTTCAGATTGATAAAGAATGTGTTGTGTATGGTTCCATATAGCACCTTTTTGAAAATGTTACTATATATTTATTATTATTATTATTATTATTATTATTAATTAAGAAGAAGTAGTAGTTCAATTTCTGTACCAGCTCCCACATAACCAAGGTCACTTTACAGTAATAACTTTACATAATCGTGGTAAAAAATTAAATAAATAAATAAATAAAGAGAAGAAGAAGAATGAAAGTATTGAGAAAACAGGAAAGTTTTGAGGTGGAATTTGTAGGAGTATGGGGTGGAGCAGTTGCGGAGAGATGAAGGAAAAGAGTTGCATAGTTTAGGCATAACACTTAAAGATCTGCCCCCCAAAAGTGGAGCATTTAGAGGCAGGGACAACCATGAGGCCCGCATCAGAGGACCTCAGAGTGCCCGTAAGCAAGGGTTCTTTAGTAAGGCACCAAATATAGCACAAAAAAGGGTTCTTCTGTTGTTACAAGCTTGACATCACACCAGTAGCACAACCCATTTGGTGCTATGTGGAACCATTTTTAAACACATTTCCATTGACAACACATTCTCCATCAGTCTGAAGAACCATTTCACCATGCATAGAACCATTTAAGCATGAAATGATTCTATATAGAACTATATCATTTTAAATAGAGCCATTGCCTTGAGTCAATATTTCACTGATGTGCTTTTACCGACGGGTAATCTACTCACTTCTGCTTATTTGGAGTTGATGACTGGATGGTTAACAATTTTGCATGGTCCAAAATGAATATCTAATCCTGCATAATGAACTATTAGCAGAGGCTCATTGGTGATTTGTGAATTTTTTTTTTTTTAATGTTTGTGATGTTTGTAAATATGCTGTAGACACTGACTGACTACTTTATTAGCTACATCTTCATTGTATCTACACTCATTGTCCATTTTTATCAGATCCACTTAGCATATAGCTAGATGGACTCTTTAGTTCTACAGATTGTAGTCCATCTGTTTCTCTGGATAATTGGTTGGCCCCTCTTTACTCCAGTGCATATGGTCTGTGGGGAATGACCCTGACAAAATGGACAATGGTAGGTGTACCTAATAAAGTGGCTGGTGAATGTCATTAAGAGTAGGCAATATCATTATATTTTATCATTATCATGATAAATTCTGTTACTGTGATAAACAGTATGCTTTTCTGAGCATATCGTGGATATTGTCAGTGCTTTACTTAACACAGGTGAGCTCCATGTTTTGTTACAAGAAGCATAATTAATCCTTAATTGGATGTATTGACTAGAAATCATTTAACTGAGGGTTTTTGACCGTGGTTATTAAAATCTTGCACTGTGCATTTTATCTTTATTGTGACAAAATATTGTGATGCATATTGTGCATTATATTATATAATAGTTTTGCCATATCCCCGCCCCAAGTGTAATTATGCATCTGACTTTCGTCTCTCTACAGCATCGTGTGTTTAAGGTGAAAATAAGCTGCAGTCCGTTATGAGATGCTCTGGTTTTCTCTGCCAGCGCTGCACTGAGTAGTCCAGCTGTGTGAATGGGAAGAGCTGATAATGTCAAAGCTTTCTCTAGGAGGAAAAGCGTCCTCTAGTAAAGTAAGTTTCTCTTTTCTTTCATGTGGCGCAAGTTGCTTGAAGAGGCTAGAGCAGTGGTGACCAGCCCTCCTCCTAGACGTCTACTTTCCAGCAGAGTTTAGGCCTTCAGTTCAGACTGCAAGCCCAAAATCAGATTTTTGGCACATTCAGATTGTATCCAGATTGATTTTTCTAATCTGGACAGCAAAAAAAAAAGACACAATTTTTGCAAATCGGATCCAAACCACATTTGGAGGTTGCGAGATGAGTCTCTGTCTTGACACTCTGGATGCTCAAATCAGATTTTTTTTGCGTCACTCACAACCTGAAAAGCAATGATGTTTTCCAATCCAGAATGATGGAAGTGCTGGGATTTACAAAGAGTGCCAAACGTTCATGCTTTATGCCAGAGTCTGAAGGCCGAGATGATGCACCTTCATCTTTCCTGCATCCACGTTTGAAATGTACATCACCAGCTTAGCTCCATAGTTACTGACAGCTACTTCGTTACCACAGCTACCCATGCAGATAGGCTGGTGATGTCTGGACAGACAAATTCGATCTAATCACTTGCAAATAACAGTGTGGACAGTCAACTCAAAAGATCTGATTTGAGAAACAAATCTGATTTGCCTGCCGTCTGAACCTGGCCTTGGTTCCAGTTTGCATATAAAATGCAGCTGCCTGTCTGAAGATGGTAATTAGCTGGAGCAATTGTGACTGGAAGGTAGATCTTTAGGACCAGGGTTGAAACCACTGGGCTAGAACTTAGCTGTGTTATTTTGATTATGGAACGCTGTGCCTTTATTGATTTCAGCTTTGTGCATAAGCAGAACCCTGTTCTCACCAGCATTATTCTGATATCTTTTATTTGTCTTTTTGCTTCAGCTAAGCAGCTGGGTACAACCATCCTTCGGTGATCTTTTGGGAGGCTCTGGGGTGAACAGCCTCCCTCTGACAAAAGGCACCCTTGCAGGAGAACGCAAGTCCAAAGTTCAGCCTTCTTGTGCGGATGTTGGTGGGAAGAGGCCCAGAAAGAGGAAAGTAGAATCTCAAGCCTCCCAGTCTCAGTTCTTTTCCAGTAAACAAGGTTCACAAGAGGATCAGGATGAACCCTGGGTGGATGTTCACGCCCCTCAATCACAGGTATGGAGACTGAGTCACTCGCCACATTGAATCCGTTGCTTTAGCTGTCATCATGATGGTTATAGGAGTTTTATTTTACTCATGAGAGTCGTACTAGTTCGATAAATATTGCTTTGGTTATGAGTTAGTTGTAGTTTGTAGAGTGAGTAATAGTTTATGTCTGATTTCTCTTGAACCATTAAAATGTCTGCTGATGTGCCTTTCTCCTCTGTGGTAGGCTGAGCTGGCAGTGCACAAAAAGAAATTTGAAGAAGTCGAGAGTTGGTTGAGGGTTCATTTGGACTTGAAGAGTGCGAGCAAGGTTTGTATTAAGGGTGTAAATCTGACCTCATGATGATCCGATTTGAATATGATTGTTTAAAAAACTCTTGATTTGATATGTAGTGCTATTTATAAAAATATTAAAAATGTAACTGTTTGAACAAACAAAAAAACAGACCTTTTTCCCATGTTTACATAAAAAATAGCCTAAGACTTTTATTTTGATGCAAAAAAGACTAATTGATTCTGAAATATAGTGCATTTTTTTATCATTTCTTTAAATAATACTTTTTTATGACAGAATGTAAAAACCATATATTTTCTGCTGGAATTACTCCACAGGGTGGTGCTATTCTGTTACTGACAGGCCCGTCTGGCTGTGGAAAGACAGCCACGGTTCACGTCTTGGCTAAAGATGTGGATTTCCAAATCCAGGAGTGGTCCAACCCCACCACATCTGAGTACAGGACGGATGACTCTTTCAGGCAGAGCTTTGACCCAGGTGCGCTGACTCACCGTTCGTGTGAAATATGTTTCAAATGTTGCTTGCTCCCACAAAACCTGGACCAGCAAAAAAGTTTTCAAGCTTCATGAATACCTTTTTATTTGATTCTTATGGTATTGCTATATGGTATAAGGTATGGCCTTTTTCTTTTCTAGACTCCCGGTTTAACAGCTTCCATGGGATCTCACAGACAGGAGCCTTCCAGGAGTTCCTGCTCAGAGCTAACAAGTATAACCGTCTTCAGATGAGTGGAGACAGCCATGCACAAAACAGGAAGATCATTCTTGTAGAGGTACACTGCACAACACATTAACCGTCACATTAAGCAGTAAATGTCCTAACCTAAAGTGTCTCCTTATCAATGTGTATCCCCACAGGATTTTCCTAATCAGTTCTATAGGCAGCCAGGATGCTTGCATGACATTCTCAGGTAAGAACCCAGTATTAAAGAAAACAGTTCACTCTTCCTATGGAAGTGGGCAGAGGAGGAGAAATAGGTATTTGAGAGCATTTGAATCCAGAGCTGTGTGAAATGAGGCTGTGTGCTTTTCTTTCTCTGTTGCCTGCAGGCGTTTCGTGAAGACAGGCAAGTGTCCAATAATCTTCATTGTGTCTGATAGTCTGAGTGGAGACACTAGTTCCAGACTCCTCTTCCCGAAGGAGATACAGCAGGAGCTCGGCATCCACCACATCAGGTTAATATTTTACTATGTTAAGCTGCTGCATGCATGGAGGAATGCTGATTACATCACTGGTGCAGTTTAAAGGAACTGCC